AATCTTTTCCTCTCCCAAAAATGTCCCAACAGGCAGTGGGCGCAATTTTTTCCTCTGGGTTTACTCCCAAAGCCTTTCTCACGAATGAGTATAGCTGCAAGGCAGCAGAGGATCAGACTTTTCCTTCTCCAAGACAGGCAACCTTCCCAGGTTGACAAACCCCATCTGCCCCTCACTCTTCTCTACAGCACATGCAGAAACCACCTTCTTGATTGCTGGACCCACTACAGTGGTATCTCGGGTTAAGTACTTAATTCGTTCTGGAGGTCCATTCTTAACCTGAAACTGCTCTTAACCTGAAACACCACTTTAGCGAATGGGGCCTCCTGTTGCTGCTGCGCCTCCAGAGCACGATTTCTGTTCTCATCCTGAAGCAAAGTTCTTAACCCGAGGTACTATTTCTGGGTTAGTGGAGTCTGTAACCTGAAGCATATGTAACCTGAAGCGTATGTAACCTGAGGTACCACTGTATTGGTCTTGTCTGCTCAATTCGCTGGAGCCTGTCTTTGCATGCAGGAGAAGTCCTTAAATTATTGAGTGTTTGAAACCATCTGCTACTCTCACGTGGTTTAGCCGACCAGTCAAAACAGCTTCCTAGGGTGTGGCTATAGCTTCTAGGAACCACAGGTGAGAGCTGAGTGCAGGGTGGGGACCAAAGGTGGACAAACTCCCCCAGAAGGAGCATGACATGTCACCCACCAGAGGTACTACTCTTTCCCTAACATCCAACTTCTAATTCCCATTTATAATGCCAAATTGGGAAAACGTGTAACAAAGTTTTTGAATTGAAGACAATAAATTTTGCATAGTCTTTTTATTAAGGCTGTTATCCTAGAATGTTTGCGATCTTTCATGTGTGGATGCAGTTAAGATTAACTGATAAATCAATAGGGTGGAATGGGATCAACTGCTATCCAAAACTACCATGATAGACTACTTTAAAATCAGCTGAGGATTCCACAGTGCTCTGGAAAAGGGTTTCAATTATTTATGTGCTTAGACTATGCACTGTAAATCCAGCTTAATGAAGTACAATCACTATGTATAAATCTGAGAAACACAGAAAGAGCGGATTGCCTAGAGGAAACCTTGGCCATGCAGGATCGCAATACAGCAGCTACTAAGAACCAACAAATACCCTTAGGAATGAGCTTCGTTATGCTTCTGTACTAGCTGGAGGTTGTAATGTGCATAAGGGCCTTCCCTTGGTAGGCATATGTTTATATGAATGCTGCCCAAAACTGAAGGCTGAAATGTTTAACCTTTTGTGCCTCTTCTTTAGACTGCTTTGTTAGGAATTTTGAAGGGAATTGAGAGTCTGGCCATGGTGGTAAACTCTTACCTCTACTATGTTGTTGTTGTTGTTTGTTGTTGTTGTTGTTGTTGTTGTTGTTGTTGTTGTTGTTACCTTTATTTCCCACTTTTCCCCAAGGAGATCAAGGCGGAACACATGGTTTTACCCTCTCCATATTATATTCACAACAACCCTGTGAGGTAAGTTAGGCTCAGAGCTGGTGACTGGCTCAAGGTAACCTAGTGAGTTTCATGGCCAAGTAGGGGTTTGAAACCTGGTCTCCCAGGTCCTAGTCCAACAACATAACCACTACACCACAGTGCAGTTCTTCTCCATAGCCCCTCATTCTTCATTCAATTTGAAATACCTGTACTGAACTATTAAAATCTACCTTAAGGCTTAACAGAATGATCTAATACGGAAAGTCTCTGCAGGAAATTATGCACACTTGGTGTGCTCTATGGCCTGTACTAGAGATGACAGGATCTTGAAGCAAAAGTATTTAGATAGTTGATCTGCAGGGGAGTTTGGGGTGGCACTAGTTAATTGAAGCTTCCTTGGAGTGAACTTGTGGAACAGCTTGAAAGGAAAAGGTCCCTGTGATAAATTCCAGTCATGGCTGTTGGACGGGTGTGCATTCATAAGAAAATAAAGTGCCAATGAGCAATTAAAAAGAAAAACTTGTTTTCTTTCAACTTCATGCTTTCTGCCTAAAACATCTTTGTGCACTAAAACTTTTGGTTCCCAAAGTGTCTGAAGAAAACTCTTCATCAAGGGAAATATTTAATACTTCTTATAAAAAAGGTTTGCATCTTAGGTGAGCTGGGGTGGAAAAGAAAAGCTCCAAGGGATAATTTTAGTAGTATTAACAATTTGACAAAAGATATGCACTGGGAATTATATCTATTTCTGCTGCTGGTTCTGTTATTTATTTATTTGATTCTTATTGTTTATTATTTAATATATTTTTTATCTCACCTTCTCCTATTCACAAATCTTTTTTATTATGATCATACACAGATCAGCCACTAAATTTCAATCAAACAAATACAGTACAAATGTTCAGTTTACAGGCGAGCAAAATAATATTTGGAACTGAGAATCTCCCAAATTGTGATTCAAGGTGGCTTACAATGTTTACTAGAAATAAACTAATCATGCCCATTCTTTCAATGAGTCTCTTTTAGGTAGAATTGGATTCATCCCTGAAACTAAGGTTTCAGACATTTGTGGTCTTACACTTGGATTTTCTAAAAGAAAAGAAAAATGGAGATTATAAGCACCCATCACTAATTGAGAACAGAGCTATGGAGTCTTGCCAAAACTGATGCTAAATAAATATCAGATAGGCACAGCCAAAATCTGCTGTGAAAACTTGGATAGCACCCCTAATGCCAGTACAAGATCCTTAGGATGCCTGCCCGGGCTGCCCTTGGGGTTTATTTGCATGTGTGTTTGTGTGTATATACAAATGTGTACACACAAGCACAGGTGCAAAATGCTGTGCTATTACTCCTAACTCACCAGATATACAAAATTCCAGACAGATTTTGGTCCTGCTAATAAATACAGAGGATGTCAAATTTGAGCTTACACCAAAAGCATTATGAATACCAGCAGACTGACGGACAATTAAAAGAATATGATGCTAACTGAAAGTGAATGCTTTTGCATGATGCTCCAGAACTCATTCACTACATGTAGTATATTGTTCCACTTGGCGAATCATGAAACCACAAATTAATATTCCAGGGGAAACAAGCTTTTTTTTAAAAAATAACCCTCCAGTTCAGTCAATCCTGGAATAGTATTAAAAAATTGAATATTAGACAACTGAGCAGAAATAAATGAAAGATGACAACTGATTTTTATTATGACTAAAGGAACTTGCTTCCTGTACTAAGAATATGTTCATATAAAAAAATGCTAAAATCTCAACTGAAGTTGCTGAGAAGCTAAGCAGTTGGTAAGCTATAAATGTGTTTATAGTTTTTCATTTACACTACAATTTGACATTAAAACCAAGCTTCTCTTTCAGTTTGATTCATCTAGGCTGTATGCCTCCTGCGTTCAGATGCTTGTGAAAATCATTTATTTATTTGGCCAGCAGCCATGATCTCTTATGAAAATATGTTTTTGGCTCTCTAAAATTAATGTAGATTATGTACATTAGTTTGATGCCACACACCTGATGACATAGGAACACAGGAAGCTGCCTTCAAACTCTATGGTTTTATTTCCTCTTCAGATTAAAATATTTGTGGTTTGGTGCAGTTATTTGTTCCCTAGAATTTTCCATCAAATTTCCATATGCAACCCACAAAAATCTTAGCCGTTTACATTGGTTAAGATCCAAACAACTCTACAATGAACTCCAGGAGATCACACTGGGAGTGGAAGGTCTGTTTTCTATTTCAATGCTACACAGCAAACTGCTGTTAAATCTGAAAGGGTGGAATCAGAAGCCATTTGTGATGCCGTGTAGAAGTCAGCTCTTTGCAGACTTCTGCAAAAATAGATTTGCTGCAAATCCTGTGTATGAACTTAGCAGCTCTCCAGCTTAGGACCTTAAAAGACATTTGGTTCAGAAAAGGACAACCAAAATGATCAAGGGGCTGGTACAACTCCCCAATGTGGAACAGTAGCAATATTTGGGGCTTTCTAGTCATGTTGTGGAGAAAGTACCGTATTTTTCCATGTATAAGATGCCCCCATGTATAAGACTCCTCCTATTTTTTTGAACCCAAAGCTGAGAAATTAAGAAGTTGCTCAGCTTTTGGGGGGCGATCACCCTAAAGTTGTTCAGCTTTTGGTGCCGATCGCAGCCCCTGTTGCTCGGCACTGACGGGACACTGCGCTTTACTGCTGGAGAGCCTGAAGTCTCCCTATGCAGCTGTGAAGAGAAGGCCCTGGATGCACTTTCCTTGCAGTGCTCCACTTGGTGCCCTTAACCTTACATGGTTTGTGGTGCAGCGTGGCGCAGTCTGGCGACCTGGCACCTGTGCGTGCACAAGAAGGAGTGGTACGTGTTACTGGAGGTGGGGGGGGGAGAGAAATAGGCAACGCTTATCTCTGGTAGCAAAAGCTTTCATGGCAGCTGCGGAAAGATCAAGGAAATCAGTGGACATATTTTTCCATATATAAAACCCTGAATTTTTTGACGAACAAAATTTAGCAAAAAAAGTGTGTTATACATGGGAAAATACGGTAGTTAGGAAGGATACTAGAACTCAGTGTCCTCCAAGGAACCCGAATATTGAAAGATTAAGTACAGACCAGAGAAAGTACTTCTTCACAAAGTTAAACTATGAAATTTTCACCTGCAAGAGTAGTGTTGGCCACCACATCACACATCTTTAGAAGAGGATTAGACAAGTTCATGCAGGAAAAGGCTATCAATGCCTGCTAGCCACAATGGTGATGCTCTACTGGAATTGCAGATGAGGAGATCACTGTTGTGCTCTTGAAGTGCTAGCAAGTTTCCCACTGGCCATTTTGAGAACAGGATGCTAGGCTAGATAGACCATTGACCTAAATCTGAACCTTTACCCTGACAGATGACTTTTAAGCTTTTGCCAGCATCTTCTGATCAATTATTAGTAGTTAAGATTTTTTTAAAGCACATGCTTTCTCCATCTCCCAACCAGGAACTTGCATTTTTGTGTGTGTGCACCACCACTTTTGCTTGTATAAAACTTTAACATACCAGTAACATTGCAGAGGTCCCATTTGGCCTTGATAAGTGGATGGACATTTCAGGAAACATTCTATCAATGCGGTTGATCACATCATCAACGTACCTAAAAAATGATCACAAGCATTAAAAAAGAAAAAGACGAAAAGTCTAAACTGAGAATGTAGCTTTGTACATGGGTGCATAAATGAAAGCTATGTCTACTCTTTAACAGCTCTATCAAGATCCTCTCATCAATACCCTTGCATTTTTTTAACTGAGTCATACAAATTCCCAACACATTTTTTTACTTTGCCAGCTACTTTTTAGGTTTTGCCTGTACCACATGAAATAAAAAAGGACAAATATTCTTTCCTCTCCTTCCCTGGAACATTCCTTATAGCCCCTTTCTTCTCATAGTCCCTCTCTGTTCCTTAGCACTGCTCTTCTAAATTGTGATATGCTACTGCACACCTGTAGTTCCTATGTAGAAACCAACAAAAGTGGCAGCTCTTCATGATGTGCATCTCTGAAAGCCACCCCCACCATATGCTGTTCTGACCAATCAAGATTCTCTAAGCAATCTTGTGGTCAAACCTGCTTGCAAAGCTGCTTTCAAAACAGGGGTTATATTCAACTTAGTTCTACTCACTGTAGACCCACTGAAACTAACAGGCCCTGTGTCTTTTTAAATTTATTTCTAAAATGGTCTACTCTGAATTAGTCCAACAGTGGGTACAGCCCATGGACAACTGTATTGCCATGTGTAAGACATTTTTTAATGTACAGTCAATGATCACTTTGCTTTGTGCAGGGGTTCTGTTCCCAGGCCCTGCACATTGGCGGACTACATATAAGTGTGGCCTTCCCCGTCCCCACCCCGCCTCCATTCCGCCCTGTTTAGTGACATTTTTAAGGTCACTTCCAGGTTTGGCACTGTGCTCATGTGCATCATTCAGACATACATTATTTAGCTGTTGCCTGTATACACATTTAAGTTATCTGGATTGGCCCTTGAATCAAAATTCCAAGTAAAAGTATTTGACCCAGTAATGGATGGGAACAGTGTGTCTCATCTTTCTGAGCTACATGCCTTGACACACAAATTATCATTGTGCACATATAGCAATGCTCCTCAACAGACTATTTTAGCACCTGCCCAATCAGCTCCTAGTAATCTAACTCCTAGTTAAAAGGTGTAAAATAAAATGAAGAGATGAGAAGACTTGTGGGTATCTTTCCCAATACAGTAATCCTCCAGGAATGCTGTGCCGGGAAACATACACATTTTTTGGCCCTAATTTAGTGTTCATTTTAAGGTCTGGCAAGTTTATCCTGCTATCATAACACTCCATTAATCACAAAATTCACAGGAAGGCAGCCGGCTAGCCAACCAGCCAGCTAACTCCTTCAGAAGCCTAGAGGATCCCAAGATTACTTCTTAGTATTATAACCCATGCTTTAATTCTTAAATTTTGCCATTAAAAATAATTAAAATCATACTTAGCAAGGTGAAGAATTTTTGCAGAAGTCACCAGTTTTTCAAGTAGTGTGTCTGTCTGTCTCTATCTATCTATCATCTATCTATCTATCTATCTATCTATCTATCTATCTATCTATCTATATCTATCTATTTTTAATAATAATTTTTATTAGTTTTCAATTACAGTCCAATAATAGCCTCATAACAAGACCAATTTATAATACAATTATTAATACCAATTGTTCAAATACTGAATTATATAATTTATATAAAGTGGCCCCCGGTGTGCTAGATTTGATGATTTTCTTTATTTCTCCATTCCAAAATCTTATTAATTTCAATTACATTCCAGTCATAATAATAATCCCTCATACAACAACTGCAATATTAATAACTTCTATTCATGATGACACATTAAATGATTTATAAAACTACAAGTGACTATATCCTTGTTCTTCCTGTGTGGGGCAATTATTTTGTCCATGGTGTTTCTCCCTGTCCTTGTAAGATGTTATGTCTTTCTTTCTCCCGGTTGTTGCTGTTATCCATCATGCCTTGGGCGGAGTTGATATCCCATTGTTGTTCCAGAGATTTCTCAATCACTCTGTCCTGTGCTTCATTGTTTTGCAACTTTAACAACAGCTGTAAAAGTCACCCTGCCCCAGTAAATACTACCTGTTGTCACCATTTTTCCTGGGAAGAAGAGTGGTCTGTCGAAATGCAGATGACTTTATAAAGAACCTTATCAGTTCCTTGGCAGTTGACAGACCCCTTTCATCCTTCCTTCCAACTGAAGATATATGAGCAATTATACTTCCAATTAAATTAAATTCCAAGTCCTCTTAGCGTTATTCAGTTCACTTCGTAAATAATAAAGGATGGGGAAGAGTCAGCTCTAAGTCAGTGTTTCCCAACCGGTGTTCCGCGGCACACGAGTGTGCCGCGGAACGTTGCCTTGTGTTCCGTGGGAGGGAGGCGGGCGACGAGAGGCGGGGCGGCGGCGGCGAGCACACGCGGGGCGGCGAGCGAGCTCCCTCCCACATCCCATCGCCGCTCGCTTCGGCCGGCCTACTGGAGCGAGCGGCGATGGGATGTGGGAGGGAGCTCGCTCGCCGCCCCGCGTGTGCTCGCCGCCGCCGCCCCGCCTCTCGCCGCCCGAGTCGCCCGCCTCCCTCCCACGGCACACCAGCCTACCTCCGTGTGCCTTTGCCCAAAAAAGGTTGGGAAACACTGCTCTAAGTTTCCATCGTAAACCTTTTGCAAAATAGAGCTTCCCCCCCTTTTTACCCATCAGTTCCGTTTGATGTTATATTCCATATTTATAATCCAATTTCTTCCATCCTTGCTTGTACAAATATAATTTGAACTAACATTCAGAGGAGGGTTGCCGAATCATAAATGTAGAGAATAAAACTTTAAACAAAGAAACTGTAGGCTCCTTTCCCCCTCACTGCCCTTTGCTCTGAATGAAGTCTTTTCTGAAGTTCAAATAAAGTCCTTGCAGTTGGTTTGTTCCGCAGTTTGTGATCTCATCTCTTCTAGCAAATGCCTGTATTTTAGTCCAATTAAGCTCTAAATAACAGCAGAACCTCTGCTTCTTAATAGCAGCATTGGAGGGTTTTCAGCAGGTGAAGTGCTTTTGCACTCAGCGCCTCCCTGCCCCCCGCATTCCATGCCAGAGTGAGAGCCAAGTACCGTGAGTGAAGTCCATTCCCCACGTCCCTGGGGGGAATTTGCAAGGATAATTACCCTCTATCATCCTTGTTTTTCCTTCGCCAACGATCTCCCGCTGTCATGGGGGCTGCCTCCATTAATGCAGAGCAGAACTGGATGCCCTATGTATCTATCTAGCTTAAAAATACCTGATAGGATAGCTTTTACGTGAATGGCACCACCTAGCAGGCAGAAGGTGCTTCAGAAGGCTTATATTTGGCCAAAGTGTAGAATCCACCAATTCATTTTGTGGAGGGCTGGGAGTAGTACAGAGAAAGATCAGGAATTAAAAGTTAAGGACTATTTCAGAAGCTGCAGCTTTGTAAACAGGTAACATGGCATCTCTCCCCCTCTTTCTCACATATAAACTTGTCCCCAAAGAGAATGCAGAAAGGCAACACTTTAAATGCCTTTCAGTTCTACACTGGACAGATGGCTTAGTTCTTCAGTATGACCTTTTAAAATAAACTGGATTAGATCCAGTGATCCGATGTTAGTGTTATGTTTAGTAGCTCAGGCACCGTTTAAATAGCGTTTCTCCCACACAGTGTGTAAAATACATGCTGTTCATTTTTCACTCCACATACAAAACCTAAGAATCGAATATATATATGTATCAAACTTTTATTTTGCTTTATAGGAGAGAGAAGAAGACAGTGCTCTGATAGCATGTTTTGTTTTTCCTTTTCAGGAAGCCAATTACTGTCACGAAGCACAGGGTTGGTCATGTGAATGGTTGAACATCATATATTGCCAAGAATTAGTCAAGTATTTAAAGCACATATTTATTAGAAAGGGAACACATAAAGAAAATGTCAGTGGATTTAAAATACAACAGTCTTAGTATTTAATCTTCTAAAGCATCTTAGGGCCTCACATACTCCCTTTTCCCCTCTACTCTCAATTGCATAGGTTCAATGAACTACTTTCTCTTCAGCACCGAACTATCACTTCCCATTCCATCCAAGCTGCCAACAATGGTTTGTGTTTGCCCTTCAAACCAGAATTGCAAACTCTGTCCAAATTGTACTGTTACATTCAGGACAATTATTTTCACCAGTTAAGAAATGGGCATCTTAGCCAGAATTACATGTACAGTGGCACCTTGGGTTACATACGCTTCAGGTTACAGACTCCGGTAACCCAGAAATAGTGCTTCAGGTTAAGAACTTTGCTTCAGGATAAGAAGAGAAATCGGGCTCCGGCGGCACGGCAGCAGCAGGAGGCCCCATTAGCTAAAGGTTCGAATCCCCGCGGCAGGGTGAGCTCCCGTCTTTCGGTCCCAGCTCCTGCCCACCTAGCAGTTCGAAAGCACCCCTAGGTGCAAGTAGATAAATAGGTACTGCTTTATAGCGGGAAGGTAAACAGCGTTTCCGTGTGCTGCGCTGGTGCTGGCTCGCCAGAGCAGCTTCGTCACGCTGGCCACGTGACCCGGAAGTGTCTCCGGACAGCGCTGGCCCCCGGCCTCTTAAGTGAGATGGGCGCACAACCCTAGAGTCGGACACGACTGGCCCGTACGGGCAGGGGTACCTTTACCTTTTTACCATTCTCAGTGCCAAGGTGTTTTAATGGCAAACTTGTTTCTATTAGGAATATTATTTTATTTACAACATACTATGATTCCTGGTGGGCAAGGAGAAGCAATGCAATGCTCACGGAAGAGGATGAACTGATGCCCCAAACAGCACCTACTGCATCTGGTACTAAAAATGGGCCATAAACAAAACTGTCACAATTCTCATAATGCTGATTTGAAAACTGTAGATATAGCTTATTATTCCTGGGGTGAAAATAAAGAATTTAATTCAAACAGTGCCTCTTAAGCAAGCACAAGCATGTTTGCAAGTGTGGCTCTGCAGCAGGTTTTCCAGTGACATGAATTAACAATAGTTATTAAAGCAGTGATCTCTGCCACCTCTTGCAAAATGACA